AATGTGATACCCTGCATTGCTGAAGTCACCACCTATGAAGGCCCTCACCACAAGTGTTCTCTGGACTTTGGACTTCCCAGCCACTGAAACTGTAAGCAATAAAATTGCTTATAAATTACCCAGTTTCAGGTATTTCTGTTATAAGCAATAGAAACAGACTAATACAGGAAAGTGGTACCAGAGAAGTGGAGGATTGCTTAAAACAAATACTCAAAAATGTGTAAGAGGCTTTGGAACTGGGTACTGGGCAGGCTAGAAGAATTTGGAGGAACAGAACAGGAAAAGCCTAGATGCTGGTGAGGAAAGTTTGGAACATCTTAGAGACTGGTTAAATGTTGGCAAGCAGAATGCTGATAGAAATACAGACTGCAGAAACCATTCTAAGGAGGTCTCAGATGTAAAGGAGAAGGAGTTTATTGGAAACTGGGGCAAAGATCACCCTTGCTATGAACTGGTAAGGAACTTGACTGCATTCTGTTCATGTCTAAAAGTTTTATGGAATGTGAAACTTTGAATTTATGAATCAGGGTATCTGGCAGAAGAAATTTCTAAGCAGCAAAGCATTCCGACAGCTGTATGGCTCCTGGTAACAGCCTATGCTCAGATATGGCAACAAAGGCATGATATAAGCCAGAATTTATAATTAAAAGGGAAGCAGAGCATAAAGATTTGGAAATTTTGCAGCCTGGGCATGTGGTAGAAAATGAGAGAGCATTTTTAGGAAAAAAATTCAAGGGTGCAATGGAAGGACTAGTTAGTTGCTATAGACATTAGCATGGCTATGAGGCAGCCAGGTACTAATAGCCAAGACAATAGGAGAAAGGCTCTGAAGGCATTTCAGAAGTCTTCCAGGCTACAACTCCTCTCACATGCTCAGAGGCCTAGTGAGAGAGAATGGTTTTGGGGAATAGGCCCGAGGCACCCTCCATGGGCTGGCTGCCCAGGGCTACCTGGGGAAGCTGCCTCCAGCACTAGCACCCCAGCTGCTCTAGCTGTACCTAAATTTGCCCCAGGTGTGGCCAGACCTGCAGCTTTGGAAAATACAAGCTGGAAACATTGGTGGTATTGTCTGCAGGCTCACAGAATGCTAGAGCTGTGGAAGCTTGGGAGCCTCCACCCTAATTCCAAAGAATGTATGGAAAACCTGGGGACTCAGAAAGAGAGTCACAGCAGTGGAGTCATCGCAGACAGCCTTCACTAGAGTAATGCCAAGCGGAAACGTGGGGTTGGAATTGCTGTAGAGAAACCCCATTAGTAGAGCTGTAAGAACGGGACCACCATGAAGATCCCAGATCTGTGGAGCTACCAACATATAATGCCAGCCTGTAAGAGTTAAAGCATGGCTAGAAACCAGGAAAGCCACAGAAGTGGAGCTACCCAAGGACTTGGGGACCTAACCTCTTTAACAGTGTGCAGAGAAAGCTGGTAAATGATTCACCAGCTCTGAGATTTAATGCCTGCCCTGCTGGGTTTCACACTTATTTGGGACCTGTTTCACCTTTCTTTTGGTGTATTTCTCCCTTTTTGAATGGGAATATGTACCCTATGTTTGTCCCACCATTGTATCTTGGAAGTAGATAACTTGTTTTGACTTCATAGATGGAACTTTGGACTTTGGACCTTTGAGTTGAAACAAATGAAGACTTTGGGGATGGAACGAATGTATTTACCTATGAAAAGGACATGAACTTTGGGGACCTGGGGTCAAATGCTGTGGATTGAATTGTGTTCCCCCAAGTTCATGTATTAGAAAATTAACCCCTTGACTGTGACAGTGTTAAGAGGGCAGGAAATCCTATTATGGTAATTGAAAGGTGGGACCTTGAAGAAGTGATTAGATTGTGAGGACCACGCCACAGTGAATGGATTAATCCATTGATGGTTTAATGGTAGTCATGGGCATGGTTCTGATGGCTTTAAAAGGAGAGCACATGAGAAGCTCTCTCTCTCTCTCTCTCACTTTTGCTTTTCTTTCAATGTGATACCTTGCACTGCTAAAGTCACCACCAAAGAAGGCCCTCACCATAAGTGTTACACAGACTTTGGACTTCCAGCTCTCAAAACTGTAAGCGATAAATATTATTTCTTTACAAGTTAAAAAAAAAAAAAAGAAGAAAGAAAATCCAGATGGTAAATAAAAAAGACATATGTAATTATCCCACTACTGACTTGAATTTGTAGAGAATATTGGATTGATAGTTTATGCCAAACAACTTTTAAACAGCTTTCTCTTCCACCCATACCAAATAATAACAACTTTTGAAAATCCGAATAACAGTAATTTTTACTAAAACTTGTGGCCAGCAAGCAGCATTAGGTCAAACATAAATATGTTTGGTTAAGATACGAATTAAGATTTATAACAGAGGAAATAGAGTAAACAGAATATAGACTTTTGGGGAAAATGTTAAGTTGCAACCTCTGTCATTTACTAGCTGTGTGCACTTGATCAAATCACTTAACCCCTCTAAACCTCAGTTTATTCACCTAAAAAATGATATTGAACTAGATTATCTCCATGGTTCCTGCAGGCTCCTAAACGTTGCCACATAGTTACAACCAGTTACAGAAAAATGTATGATCTCAACTATTTCTCACACTTATCCAATTAACTACTCCTTACAAAGCTGCAACTGATAGAACGTACATTAATACTTTATCCCTAGGCCCTAAACCTGTATCACAGAGTCTTTGCACAATCTATCTACTTTACACTCACATCTATCTGTACCTGTACAGATATAAACAACTTTCTGGAAATATTCCCAAGAAACTGTTTATGATAGTGTACATCGAACACTTAATCTTATTTGATTTGTATTACTTTTGTGTTAAGGATATATACACAGTTGGGTAAAGCTTACTTTAGACAGAAAACTTCAATATGTATCCAAAATATCATCTTTGGGTATCAAGTTCTAAATCTCATTGTAATTGACGGCTATTTATAAGAACATAACTTGAAGGATTATTGCTATCACACAAATTTAAAAGTCATTTATGCTGCTTAGTCTTCATCATTAAAGTATATCTAATTAAATCTCCACATAGCACCTCGGCATAATACTAAAGCTCTGATTTCAAGGAGTCATAGAAATAAACTGTTTGTGAAGGAAAATCCCTGCTTCTGAAAGCTATCGCTTTTTTTAATTGGTTGGGAATCTCTAATTAATAATATTGTATTTGAAATGACAAATGAAAAATTCAAACTGACAAGATAGTTTAGTATTCAATTTAATTTTATATCTTCATAAAATTTTTATCATACTTCCAACTGATAAGGTAATTCTCAAAATAAGAAGGTCTGAACTGTGATAAGAAATAATATGCATATGCCTGCTTCTTATCTATTTTTTAGGCTAGTAACATTTTGATCAAACAACTAAATCTTTTTATTACTAAGAATTAAACACAGTGTTTAAAAACTTTTAATCTTCAATGCATAATCTGTGTGAGAAATTTCATATTAGATTAGATTGTGTTCCACACAGCCTGAAAAGCATGCTCTATAAAAGTAGCATCAAGGTATTTCTGTAGAAAAGAACAGATGCTTCAAAGTTGGCAAAGGAGAAACCACCTTGCCTTTCTTTAACTATTAATTAATTATGGTATTATTCATCTAACAAACATGGTTTGAATGATTTTTGCTTAGATGTATTATTTTAATAATACATACTGAACTTCAATCAATATTTTTTTAATCCTAGCTAAGGAATGTTAGGCAAATTATTTAACCACCCTGGAGCTCTGCCTTCTTCATCTATGAAATGAGAATAATGTTACCCACCTCACAGAGTTTGGAAGATTAAATAAACTAATGTCTCTAAAGAGTCTGACACATTGCTTAGCATTTAATATATGTTCAATAAATGTTAGCTACAGCTATCCATAGATTGTAAATTTTCCTTCAATAGAATTTGATAATCTTGGCAGTTTATTTACTAGTTCATAATTCCTCACTAATGTACTCTTCAAAGAGTTCATGGTCAGAAATTATAATGGCAAGTTATATTGAACACATTATACATGAGAATGCTGAATTTTATTACTGACAATAGAAAAAAATTTCATTGTATTTGATAAAATTTATTAAGCATATTATGCTCCTTGAAAACATAAATGAGTATTTAAAATTTTTTATTTAATTTGATTTAACCCATATGAATTTAAGTGTAGAAAACACACTAAAAGCCGGAATTACAGAAACATGCCATTATGTAATCAGCATCTTCATATATAAAGGCACAAAAAACATCATCATTGTATATCATAGTTGTATTAGAAATATGCTAATGAAATAATCTGCTTTACCATATTATAACATCCTGAGGATATAATTTTTTTTTTTCCTTTTTGTCTTTTTTCGTGACCGGCAACGGATCGCAACCCTCAGTGTCGTGCCCGTACCGGACTGGGACCGCGCCCGCAGTGAGCCGCCGGTCTGTATGTGGGATCCGAACCCTTGGCGGGAGCACCGCTGTGCTCCCAAGTGGCGCACTGTAGCAGTGCGCCACCGGGCCGGCCCCTGAGGATATAGTTTATCTTCATTGTCTCTCGAGATTAATAGGGGACTAAATAAAGATGCCAAAAGGAAGAATGATAATTAAAGAATCTAAAGAAATTTTTTCAAATGCCTGTAGTTCACATCAGTCTCTTCGGTCTCAGTGTGAGGCACTAAACTTATTGGTAGCAAGACGCCTTATAGACTCTATGTTACATATACTTTTGAGAGTTTTAATATTGGGGAACTAAACACAAAAATATCTTCCACTCCAACATATGTTTTTTAAAAAAGTTATTTTTATATGCAGAATGAAGGAAAATATCAAGTTGGAAAACAAGTTTCTGCATTCAGTAAAAACAAACAACATTTATTTTACAATATGGAAGATACTCTTATGTATCTGAAACACTTAGCAGGGTAAATAAAATACTAAGGTTTGGTAGAGAAAACAAAAAGATCACCTATTTATGATTTTTAAAAAGAATCAGTGTGGTACCTTTCATGGCCTCTTCAAAAGAGCAAGGTCTTGCTGGACTAGATATTTCTTTCTTCACATTCACATTCAATGTACCAGCTGCTGCTATTTAAAAAAAAAAAAAAGATTAACATATTTATTTAAATTTATTCATCCTAACAAAATGTGCATCTGAAAATTCTTTAATTGGAATATTTTCTTACAAATTATCATTAAATTATTTGTTTACCAGAAATTCTAGGTTGAGACGAGTTTTTGTAAACAACTATCTGTCCTCTAAACTTCACCAATCTCCAAGTGGGCAAAGCATATGATCCCTTATCAAAACAAAACCAAAATAGCTATTTAAAAAATCCTTCTTATAACAGTACATATGTTGATGATATCAGATGAGTAGAAGATTCATATCAGAATATCAGACATTTAAAATTTATCCAACATACTAGAACATTAGCAGGAAAAAAAAAAAACATCATTCACCTACACAAACGATTTATTAAAAAAAACTGATTCAGCAACCTAAATGACCATTAACAGGTGAAAGGATTAAAAAAACTGTGTTATATATACACAATGGAATACTATTCAGCTATAAAAAGAAATGATATCCTATCATTGCAACAACATGGATGGAACTGGAAATCACGTTTAGTGAAATAAGTCAGGTACAGAAAAGACAAATACCACATGATCTCACTCATATGTGGAATTAAAAAAAAAAGTGGTTCTCATAGAAGTAGAGAATATAATAATGGTTACCAGAGGCTAGGAGGGGAGGAGAGGTGGGGAGATGAGAAGTGGTGGACTAACTGGTACAAAACTATGTGATCTACCCTAAGTGAATCAATGTACAGTATATTTGTGTATTGAAACAACACACTGTACCACACAAATATGTACAAGTAAATGTTTAAAAAAATTTTTTTTAATAGAACGAATTTGAAAATGAAAGTCCTTTGACTACACTAGCAAAACCCAATGGATCTGGAATGTGAAAAATTCTTTTTAGCAGTAAATACAATAATAATATTACTTAAGCCAAAAATACAAAAGAAATTGAAGGTGTGCTGGCAACTTTTCTCTTGCTAAACAAATAGCTCAAATATCTTCTTTAAAGTACAGGCATAGGAGTCTAAGCAGCATCCAGAATTCCCACATCACTTCCTTTCTTTTCCTTTTGAATAAACAACTGGTGAATACAACATCAAAAAAATATATTGATTCAGAAGCATTTTAGTTAATATTTACACTAAATTAAAATAACTGCGATTATCATACTGATTCTATAATATTATGATTACTCTCTCTGTAACAACTTGAAAAAAAATAATCTTCACTAATGTTAACAGAGAACTGCTGGACTAGTATATCTAGTCATGTCAATTACATCTACTCTGACAACTTTAAATTTAATGGACCTAAGGATCAGTTCTAAATGACAATTCAAAATGGGATCTGAGTCAGCTTATTTTCAATGTATTATTTTCCTTGACATTACAATGTCAAATGATGGTTATACCTAAGTGAATAAATAGATAAAACTACACATCTCCTCCTAAGAATAAAGATAAATAATTCATCATAGTATGCTGCACAGTAGGTCCAACAGATGATTTATAGGGAACTGAACTGAAAAGAAGTCCACATACAATTTTTATGCATGATATTAATCCTAACAATTACATATTTAAAAATATACAGTAATCCTTAAACTTTTTAAAATTTCTACTTTTAAATCAAGTTATTAGTAATTTGTTTTTAGAGAAACCAAAAATGATATGATTAAAAATTATATCCCCATTTCTTACAGGAATCACCACTGTAGAGTTATAACAAGTAATGTCTAATGTGATTTTTTTTTTTTTAAGATGACCTGAGGGGATCTTAACCCTTTGCTTGGTGTTGTCAGCACCACGCTCTCCCAAGTGAGCTAACCGGCCATCCCTATATAGGGATCTGAACCTGTGGCCTTGGTGTTATCAGCACCACACTCTCCCAAGTGAGCCACGGGCCGGTCCTAATGTGACTTTTGTATGTGAATAAAAAAAATTAAGGATGCTTCAATGGGTAAGCAAAGCTTCAGTGACTAACTGGCAATGAAAGAAAGGTTTTATGGCTCTGCAAAGTATCTAAGTGCCTGAGAGCATACACGTAAGATACATGATTTGGGGCAGTAGAGCCCCAGAGGGCGTTAGAGGGGCTTGTGTCTGGCAGAGGGAACAACATTATCAATAAACTACAGATACAGAAGAACTGCTAATTCTGAAGCTTTCCTTAGACTGGAATGAACTGAACAATGGTGATAACCATGGCAGAAACCAGGCTTAGGTCAATGGAACATGCAAAGAGTTTTTACTTTCAAACTGTTTTCCCTATTTCTGCCAGGAGAAGGCTTTTTTCTTTTTCAGGCAACTAAGTGAACATAGGCAAACAACTCATAAGACACTTTTCAGCCAGGTATCTTTAAACTCTTAACATTTCAGTTGCTCTTGTTTCTCTGATTTCTAAACCATCCTTATTTTACCTAAATGCTTGAAATTATATTTAAAATATTTATTCACCATCAGTCCTTGATATTTTATATTTTATCATCAATTACTCCAGTCTTATCTCTCCCCTCCCTCAAAACATACCCTATAAACTAGCCAAACTAAACTATTAGCAACTTCCCAAAGTTGTTACTTTCACCTTTCCGCACATAAGAGGTACTCAATGAATAGTAATTCTTATTAAGGAGTAGCCTGTAAGATAGCTCCAGAGAGTCTGACTTCAGAGCATTCCTGGCTTTTCAATTATTACTAGAGTATAAAGTAGAAATGATTCCCGTAACACAAGAGTAAAAGCAGTACTTGGTGGCTGTCTTCTTAGGGAATAATGCCATCTTCAAAAGAGACTTATATCAATAAATCTTAGTGAGCAACTTTTTCTCTTTGGTTGGCTGGTCTTCTTCATATCCTTCCAAAGAACTAGAAAATAATTATTCATTTCAGTTCAGAATTTTTCATTTTGACATACCTGGGTCTGGAGTGTAAGTGAATGGCTGAACATCATGAGATCTTCCAGCATTGGTCACTACATATATTCCCACTGATACGGGCAAAGTTATATGTTGGTCATGATATGGGGGAACCTTCACAATAAGATGATTCTAATTTAAAGAAAAGTACAAGAGTCAGAAAAGAAGCAATATTTAAAAAAAAAAATTAATTAAGTATATTTGCTATTAACTGTAAAGTTTTAAAAGTCTGATTTAAAAAAAAATGAATGTATTTTAAAGGTCAGGTTCACAGGCATTAGTCTTAAGATTGCTTTTAAGGTAAAATCCAGGTGTTTTACAATGGCTTAGACGGTCCCTGCCCTGTCAACTTCATTTCAACCCCATTCTACCCCCTGGCTCACTAAATTCTAGCCACACTGACCTTCTCAGTCCATTCTTTTTTTTTTTTAAAGATGACCAGTAAGGGGATCTTAACCCTTGACTTGGTGTTGTCAGCACAACGCTCACCCAGTGAGCAAACCGGCCATCCCTATATAGGATCCGAACCTGTGGCCTTGGTGTTGTCAGCACCACACTCTCCCGAGTGAGCCACGGCGCTGGCCCGTCAGTCCATTCTTTTAAAATACTAAACTCAGTTTAACCTCAGAGTCGTTACACTTGGCTGTTTTCTCCAACTGTAATATTCTCCTTTTACCTCCTCAAATGGCAAGTTCTTACCCATTTTCAGATCTTATACAAATATTACCTCCTGAGGGAAGCTTTCCCTGACCATCCTATTTAAAGTAGCACCCTTCTCCAACCTAATCACATAATCTTGTTTATTTCCATAACAGCAGTTATCACAATCTGAAATTACCCTGTTTGCTTATTTTTTTTCATCTCTCTCCAACCATGAGAATATAAGCTCTATGAGGACGTTGACTGTTTTGTTCTTCACTCTATCTCCCCTGTTAAGAAAGGTAACTTATAAAAAATACAATCAAATATATTTGTTGAACAAAAAATGAATTATGAGGAAAAAATATGTCCACCAAGCACAGTCAGTTACCATGTTCTGCGTAACCCCAGTGTGAGATGTACTTCACAATGCAGTTCACTACTTCCTAACCACTTTCTCATTCAAAGTCAAATAGGGTTCAGTTTATCCAAACCTAAGTAAATCAAGGATATTTTTAGTCAGAATAGTGGTAGAAGCATCCTTATAAGAAAAGGGTAGAGTTCATAAATGTTTCACCAGCACGTACTCATGGGGATTATATCTTCTTGGAAGAAAACATGAACCACGTTTGACTTTTTCTTTTTCCCTAGTAGATTATAGAAATGGAAAGGAACATCAGGGAGTAGTGATTATGCTTTTTTACTGATGATCTGACTGCAGGAGTCCAAAGCTGACAGCTGAGAGTAAAGTTTGATGACATTTTTTATTTAATTAGACTATAGTCAGTTGACTCAGTTGAACAGAACATGGAACAAATGAGGTCAAGATTAAAGTTTCAATTTCTGAGCACTTAATTTGTTTCTGAGCCATCTTATACACTCTCTGAAATAAAGTCACATTATAGATAAATAGCTTCTAATTTACAGCATTAACAGAATGCCTCCTAAGTTAGCCATCTCAAAAACACAAAATACTTTTAAACCACGTAGAAAAACATATACAAATGTGTGTATATCCATAGTTATTGGAGCAGGGGAAATCTGAAAGCACATACAGTCATCAAAAACACACCTGCATTGATCCATGAGAAAAAGCATTTTAAAATCTTGCCTACCCTCATTTTTACTTACTGTTTAAACACTACAACTCTACCACAGACGCAGTCTACCTAGAGTTAAGGAAATGGTTAAATGGACGGCTTATAAAGTATCCTTCTACTCTTAAAATTATTTGGCTAACTCTATAATTGAAATTATTTTTCTGAATAAAAACTTGTTTCTTGGTGTTTAGTAACAGGATTAGTATAAAAATCAGATGCATATTTCATCAAAATACTTTTACTTCACTAGTTTTGAAAAGCATATAAGAGCAGACATAATTTGAAACCTTTTAAAAACCAAATTACATTTTATAATGTAGAATATACTAATTATCCTGATTTGAGCATCACATATTGCACACAGGTATTGATACTCAACTCTGTACACCAAAGATACATACAATCAATTATGTTTCAATAAAAAATTAAATAAATAAGTAAATAAAAAACAAATGAGCCTATCTTGATACTAATTCTTTACACTTCCTCAATCTGAATCTAAAAATTCTACAACTGATTTGAAATAAAACTAGATAAATTGTAAATAGTGATCAAAAGTTGTTTTTAATACTATTCTCACAAATTAGGAGAAATTCACCACCACTGAGCTAGGAATACAATACATACAAAACACAACAATGCTTGGGAGGCCTTTGGAGCAGGTATAATGTTCTCTGGGGTAAAAAGAGAGGAATATTTGAATTTTAAATTCTTAGAAAAAAGCTGCTTGGATTCAAAATAACTTTTTTTTTTTTTTGCCTTGCAGACAATCTTTTTCAGAGTATACACAATGGTGCTAGATATTTTTCACTCTCTTATGAGATCATTTATCATTGCCACGATCATTTACAGTTAGGAATATATGAAAAATCAGACTTGACCAAAGACACATTACATAATTACTTTTAGAGCCAATTTGAAAACGTATAACCTCTAAATTCTCAAGTATTTTATTCTAGTTGTTCCCACAAATTCTGCTGAGGATCTTTCTTGCCATTTCTTTCAGGAATTTTCTTTCCATATTTATATCTATCTGCCAGAAAGCCATCCTTTTATACAAGAGTACTTCAGAAAGTTCATAGAAAAATAGAATGAAAAAAGAGAATATGAATCTTTCCATGAACTTTTTGAAGACCCCTCATGTATATGAATACATATATATGTATATCCTTTTTTAATATATATACATATACACAAATACAAATGTGTATATGTTTTTTTTTAATAAGCAATGAAGGTTATACATAACTAATCTAAAGTTTTTACAAGGTAATAGATATAATGACCATGTACCCAACATATTTGATATACATGAGCATGAAACATATTACGACCTTGACTAGAAGAGCCAAATGTAAACAAAGAACTGTTTTCCCAGACTTCGTTAATCTCAATATTTATGTATTTATTTATTTATTTAATTTATTTATTTAAATCTCAATATTTATATAATAGAAAAGGTTTATTTATACCTGATGAGTTGATTTTGGGTTTCCAAATGAATGGCTATTACAATTATTCATAATTGCAATTTGTGAAGATATCTTTAAATGTTTTTTTCTACTATACCATCTTCTGGGTAGTTTTACATATTACAGACGCCCTTGCAATTTTTCTGTGTAGGCCTGATATTTCTTTATGAACCACATCAAAGTTTCTTTTCTTTCAAACATTTTCTTCTATCTAAATGTTTAATTTCTGTTTTTTTTCCCCTTTAATATGAGATTATTTTTAAAAGTTTGTGGAAAAATTTAGTTTAATACGAATTTTTCCATGAACTTTTTGAAGATCCCTCATATGATCTCTAGGATCAAGTCTCTACGATCTCAGCTCTGATTCCACTCCAATAAAAAACTTCCCAAAAAGCCCCTTAAGAAAAAATGAAATAGAAGCTCTCTCTGAAAAGGATAAAAATATAAAAATGAAGAAAATCACAGATTAGTGACAGGTCATAATATGATTTAGTTTGTTTACATATTTGCTTGCAAAAACCCCAGGACCTCTAGAAATAGCCACCAAATAAGGACATAATTCCTTTCCATTCTACCACATTTTATTTTTATGATTATTCTTCTTTAATCTATTATAATTGGCATAAGTACCCTGGAAAAAAGTGTTTTAAAAATGTAACTACCCCATGCCTCACAGGGGAAGCAAGGAAGGGAGGGAGGGAACGAGGGAGAGGGGATAGGGGAGGAATAAGGAGGGAGAAACAACTACTTGTTAATATAAAGTTCTATATAAAACATCAAGTTAAGACTATAATTTGTTAGTATTTTGAATAATTTGTAAGGCAAGTCTTTTGATCTCCAGAACTAGTCTCCCCAGCTGTAAATCTGCATCATAAGAATAACAGTTGTAATAGAGCATGACAAGCAAGGGAGTTTACACTAATCTAACCAATTTGGCAAAAAATAAAACGTTCTTGGCATACAAAAGTACTGCAGGGATAAATTAAACTTCAGGCAGGATTAAAACTCTAGATATAAAAGAACCTGGCTGAAATTAGGGTTTGCAGTGCCCTCAAAAGAATATATGGACCTAAGACCACAGAATACTTTTTCTTAAAGGTGAGTAAAATGATAAGTTTTTCATGAGTATCTATTAAGTGTTGGGTATTATGAGGAGCACAGAAGAGTCTGCCAGAGGAAGCTACTGTTGGTTCACAGAAAGTAAAAATGGGTCTGATCCAACAAGTTATATAAATCATAAAATGTCAGAGTTAGAAGAAGCCTCAAATAATCTAATGAAAGAGTTTGTCTTATAGATTAGAAAATTAAGGCACAAAAGGACTGTGTTACATAAATACAGATTTTCAGTGATAAAGCAGGTACTAGAACTTTAGTTAAGACTAGTCTGGCAAGGTTCAAAAAGTTCATAGAGAAATGGAATTAAAAGATAATATGAATTTTTCCATGAACTTTTTGAAGACCCCTCATATGATCTCTAGATATTGCCCAATGGTATATGTGACAAAAGAATGACTGTTTGAGTCCCACTATCTCTTTTCTACAGCATTTCATAGCATAAGGCAAGATGGAAACTTCAACATAGCATTTGTCTAGGTATACACAAATCTCCACTTTGTATGATACTGTGTTGTAAAGAATTAACTTTACCCAAAGAGAGGTCTGGCCTTTGCCATTGGACTCTGGGAGGAGATCTCCGGGCTCCTGCACTGTCCTGTTTGATAGGAGTATCTTTGGGGGCTTTGGCCATGGATAGTCTAACAATGCTTTATGATGGGGGCTTTGGAACGTGTCATTTCAGTTCTAATCTCTGGTGGAACTGGAGACTAAAGGTCAGCTGCATGGGCAGTATGTAATCAAGTCCAAATAAAAACTCTGAAGACCAAAGGCTTGGCAATTCTGTGTACTGTCACACATCAATGTACTGGGAGGGTAATATATCCCTGAGGATGACAGAAGCTTAGCATTTGGGACCCTCCCAGACCTTCCCCTATCTGTGTCTCCTTTTAATTGGTTCTGATTTGTATCCTTTTGTCGTAATAAAACTATAATCATAAGTATAGCACTTTCCAGAGTTCTGTATATTATTCTAGCAGATTATCAAATCTGAGGGGATAGTGGGAAAACCTGAATTTGAAGCCAGCTGTTTAAAAGGGAGGGTAGCCTGGTGACCTCTGAACTTGTGGCTGGTGTCCAAAGAAAAGGCAGTTTTGGCTGTGCCCTCAGCCTTCAGTTTGGCAATATGTGCGCTTGTGTGTATATATACATTTTTTTTTTAAAGACGACCGGTAATGGGATCTTAACCCTTGACTTGGTGTTGTCAGCACCACGCTCTCCCAAGTGAGCAAACCAGCCATCCCTATATAGGGATCCAAACCTGTGGCCTTGGTGTTATCAGAACCACACTCTCCCAAGTAAGCCACAGGCTGGCCCCTATATACTTGTTTTTTAAATACACACACACACAAAATTTTTAAATCACAAAGGTATTACAAACTTTTAAAATAAATTGTCTACAGATTCTCCAATTTTTTATCTTCCATTTTTCTGCTTGCATTCATGTGCTCTTTTCTACCCCCATCAGATCCTTATACTAAATTTTAGGGTTTGTGTGTTTTACACAGTAGCTTGTTTCTGCTTCTCTCTTCTATATCTCTCTGAGATCTACACTGGTACATACTACCTTGCTGCTTGTGTCTTCTATCCAATTTGCTTATAAATTTGGCCTTCTGGGCCGGCCCGGTGGCGCACTGGAGAGTGCGCCGCTTGGGAGCGCAGCGGTGCTCCCGCCAAGGGTTCGGATCCCATGTGGAGACCGGTTCCCGCTCACTGGCTGAGCGCGGTTTGGGCGCAACACCGAGGGTTGCGATCCCGTTACCGGTCAGTAAAAAAAGACAAAAAGGAAAAAAAATAAAATAAAATAAATAAATTTGGCCTTCTGTTAGTCTCAATTTCTATGGGTTTGGTACTATCTGCTCCACATACTAATTCTTAAGTAAGGTCTTTATCCTTGTTTTCAAGATCGTTTTCCTTATTATTTAAAAAACAATATATAGTGAGGTCCTACAACACGGACTCACTTATATATGTTGAGTGCTTCTAAGTGCAATAAGGTAACTTCAACAAACCTGGTACACAGCAGATACTCAATAAATATTAGTTTCCCTTTGATTTAACTATAGTAGCAGTAGTAGGTTAAGATAATCTAAATCCTCAGAGAAAATAAATATCAGAAAAGAAATGTTTCCTTCATTAACAATGGTAATGTTTGCTGATGCTCTTTATTTTTTAAAATAGAGAGCTGGTCATGTCTGGCATTAGTGGAATAATTCTATGTCAGTTAAAGAAACTCAAGAAAAACTTTAAATGATTCACATCAATCCCATATGAAAAGGAAATTTAATCTATTGATTCAGGAATTTTTCAGAACAAAACTGAATTGCTCAGATAGTAAACAACGAAATTATAAAAGGCTTAAATTATACCTGGTGAAATAATTCCATGTCGATTTCAGCTTCTGACTTCCAAGAGTTTTCATCTGATTGGAATAAAAAACAGTGACTTACTAGATTGAACAATTTTTTTACACTGTAGCTATGACTATGTCTTTATAACAAAGTGAAGCATGCAACAATCTCTGTACCTACTCACCAGAAATATTTTCTTGGAAAATAACTTTAGTTCCTTTCAGAAAGTTCTTGCCAATTAAAAACACTTCTTCCTCTCCTTTCACTGAACAGCTGTGCAAGCTTTTCTTTAAGATTTCTGGCACTCCCGCAGGCTGAGCTGTGGGTATACATAAGCATTCCATAAAAAGAACCATCAACACTTATTTCTTATCTAGAATCAACTTACAACTGTCCAGTTCTACAGGTCATCTTTGTTCACCCCTAAATTTAACTTCCTTTATTCTGCTACTTAACTTTTACCCTAATGGAGGGCAGAGAAAAAAACAGAAAAATCCATATTCATTTTTAATAACTTGTAAGGTTTTATAGGATGGATAAAGGCCAAAGATGAGGTTTTCATTCATTATATGTCATCTTTGTTTTCTTATTACATGAATTGTTAAGAGTTTAAAAGTATGAACTTGGTCATCTTTTGTTTTAATAATATTTTTTTAAAAATTACATTTAGGGCCGGCCCGGTGGCGCACTGCTACAGTGCACCGCTTGGGAGTGCGGTGGCGCTCCCGCCGAGGGTTCGGATCCCACATACAGACCGGTTCCCGCTCACTGACTGAGCGAGGTGTGGGAGCAACACCGAGGGTTGCGATCCCGTTGCCGGTCCCGGTCCGGTACGGGCGCAACACTGAGGGTTGCAATCCGTTGCCGGACACGAAAAAAAAAAAGACAAAAAAAATTACATTTAAAGACAAGCTTGGGCCGGCCCGGTGGCACACTGGATAGTGCGCCGCTTGGGAAGCGCGGCGGCGCTCCCGCCCGAGGGTTTTGATCCCACGTACAGACCAGTTCCCGCTCACTGGCTGAGCGAGGTGTGGGAGCAACACCGAGGGTTGCGATCCCGTTGCCGGTCCCGGTCCGGTGCGGGCGCAACACTGAGGGTTGCGATCCCGTTGCCGGTCCCGGTCCGGTGCGGGCGCAACACTGAGGGTTGCAATCCGTTGCCGGACACGAAAAAA